TTTTCCTAGATTTTACAGTCGACAAGGACGAATTATGTCAAAAACCTAGCCAACTTGCAGCTTCGAGTAAAGTAAAACGCACGACACATCAACAACAATCCAACGAACCAAAAAGCAGAAACCGTGCTACGTTAACACCAACTACTCCAACCAAGGTCGAAACTGATCGTAAGTCTAGCTTCTGCTACTAAATGAAATTCATTTGTATACACACCTTTGTATATTCTTGAATTTCTTGAGTTCTTGAATATATTTAAATAGCTGCGAATTCTTTTATTTCTAAAATTTTTGACTATTCTTTTGAATTGGTCAAAAAATTTTCGAAATAATTGTAATTCTTCTATAAAATATTGATTGGTAGTTTAGAGAGAGTTTTATCTTTGAAACTTTCTATAAACTATCTCATTTTTATAGATTTAGGATTGAATTGCAGCATTTTAAAAATTTAATAGCCGAACTTACCTGACGAAGACCCTTAAGTAAGGTCGAAACCGGTCGTAAGTATTGCTTGTTCTATTAAATGAAATTCATTTGTATACACACCCACACCCAAATACTCAGTCATAAAATACGATGTGCCTTTGCATTACATACGAATGTTTTTAATAATTTAGGATAAATATCCATGCACATCCAATTGCATTACCAGAAATAACTTCTATCATATTTCGAAAACGGCAATGTAAAATAATAGTAAAGATATTTGAGTCATTTTGAAACAGCAATCGCTTACTCTAATCCCTATTGCTTTCTATATTCTCATTCTGGTTGTTTATCTACTTTTGACATGCTTTCCACTTCCATATGCTACGCACAAACAAAATCAAAAAAATCAGGCCAATATTGTACTACGTTAAAAAAAACGATAACAAATAACCACTGGTAAGAAAAAAACCTCAATCAATAGAAAAACATTCCTACTCTAACACAATCTTTTCTTTCGTTTTAATTTATCTACACGAACCGTCACAGACACATTGCACAAAGCATCTTGACAACTTTGTCCTCTTCTCTAATCCGTTGTATCTCCCGAACAAGAATCGTAAGTAAATTCGAAAAACTCTAGTTTTGTGGTAACTCTACACATCCATCTATTCTCTCATTTTCTGTTATCATTTTAAATTGTTTTATATTAACTGTAAGAATTATCAATCTATGTCGTATTGTCATGATCACTATTACTTTGATCGCAATTTAAAATTGCATTCTAGATTGAATTGATTATCTTTCAGATTATATTATTCATGGCACGAGAACGAAAGCAAAATTCAACTTTCAATGAAATCGATAAATTACTTGCCGATGAAGAATTTTGTCGAGCAGTAGAAGCATTGAATGACGATGCAGGTAAATATGAAAACTGAAATGAAATTTATTGCAAAAATGTCTAATTATTTTCAATTCTCTAAACAAGACATTACTGTTCACTCATCAACACAGACGACACCGGATCCTTTAAATACTGCTTTTATTGAGGTACGACGTACTATTTGTTTACTCAAAATAGATGTAAAAATGAACATTTTTTTTTTCTAATATAAAATAGGAGACCAACCTCAATGAACATCAACAAAGTAATTTATCTCAACAACAAAGTAGTTTATCTCAACAACACAGTAATTTATCCGAACAACAAAGTAGTTTATCTGAACAACAAAAGAGTTTACCTCAACAACAAAGTAAAAATTATTTTTAAGAAAAATTTCATTATCTAATTATCGATTCAATAGGCCAAACTATAAATGATGCATCAGCCATCCTTCGTGAGTTGGCAGAGATAACGACTGAATATGAATATGAACGGATCGATCAACCTTTACCAACAACAACAGCAGCAGGAAACTTGGTCGAAATAGTTGATCTATCACCATCAACATCTCGTACGATCGATCTACGTACACCGACACCAACAACAATCGATCTTTCTACACCTGCACCAATTACGATCGATTTAGATTCACCTCAAATACCATCCAATACTAACACTACGGACTCACCCACTTCATTTAAGTCCAAAATAATACTTTGTTTGTTTTTTTCTTTCCCGTTTTTTTGCCCCATACTCTATTATCCTCTTCCGATAACTTCTGATTTATTACATATCAAGTTATTCCCTTCATTCAATTCATTTTTGTCCTTTTGTTCTAGATGATTAATTACAATATATTTCATCATGACTCATCATAATGATTCGATGAAAAACAAAGTAAGGACGAAAATGTCAATGTGATCTATTCATATATTTATCATTTCATTTTTATTTTTGTATATTATAGTATGATGACTCGTCAGTGTCAACTCATCAGAGTCAACAAGTGGATACTAACATTTGAGTTCAATTGATAAAATAACAAAAGCAGAGATTTGGCGACATTCACTATCAAGAAATCAATCAATCTCTTGAACACACGACTACAATTAGTTGACTTAATCACCAAGAATTAAGGCGAATATCTATACTCATTTATCAAAATACAAAGATTTACAAGGTGAAAAATTGTTATCGACAACATGCTCCAAATTTGCCACTTGATAAGAATTCTTGTAAATTCGAAATACTATTGTATTGTGGTAACTGCAACACACGACCAGATTATAGGTAAACAACTTACCTATAATGACATATTCGCCAATGCAATAAGACGTTCATATGACTCGCTACCACACAAGTATTTGCCACTTGATAAGATTTTATTTGTAAAATCGAAATACTACATATTTAGTATTGTGGTTACTATTCACGCTCACATCCAAACTACTAATGAGTAGCGGGATACTTCTGGTGAGTATAATAAAATTAGATTTATTCTTATATTTCAATAACTATGATATTATTCCTTTGTTTCTAGTACCAAGCACAAGGAGTCACAGGAGAGAGTCATGTTTGTCAGTTTACATAGGTTTTCGATTATTTTTTAAAAATTACTTTCACAATAAATAAATAAATGAATAAATAAACAAATATATATATCAGATATAATTTGTTTACTTCATAGGAATCCTAATTCAACTTTTGTTAAAAATATCTGTGATTTATTTTAGATATAAAATATCTTCTATTAAAAAAGATAACGTCTTCTTCTATTACTTCACGTGCATTGATTAACTTTGTAGTATTCAAGAAAATCGAATGGCTACTTTCAAACTTCAAACACTGTTATTACAACCTGCAAAAAAGATGAAAAAATCATGGCATTTCACAAATAATAGCATGTATCATAAGAACATCCAAAAGAGTCAATTATCTATTGATAACTGGAAGACTTCATCACGGATCCTAGCAAATTATAGAAAAATGCCTGACAATCTATTCATACATCGACTATCAAACAGTATTCCTAGTCAGTGTGCAGTGATCCAACGGTCATTAACGAATACTACAATGTTACATTTTATTCGCCGTCGTGCTCTACTCATGTGTACTTTATCAGAATTAAAAACCGAAGAAGATTATTGGAAACATGTTGCTGATGAAGCAATGCCTACTGTAAGATGGTTATCTCAAGCATCTAAAGATATAACGAAACGAAATTCCATTAACTGGGATTATCCGCGAACGGAACACAACATAAGACATCGACAAAGATTAATTTATAATAAACTACAACAAGCAGAGGCGAACTTGAAGGTTCATTTACAACAAAGTCCTCCAAGTGCAGTAAAACAAAATGAAATATCTATTGACGAATCAATGAATATCATTGATCACGCTCTTACTAATCTCGTAAAGAAAGATCTTGAACAATGCGTGAATTATTTTGAACACAAGAAAACCATGCTGAACTTCGATATTAATGGAGTCAATCAGGTCAAATCATTCTATGAATATAGTCCAAACAAGGAACAGATTTTCAACCAAACCTACGACCATATTTTTACTCTTTTTCTTTCCTTCTAGATTCTTTCTGTTCAGAAACTTTGGCGAATAACTGCCAAATCATACAAACGAGCAATTACTCTAAAAAGAAATTCTTCATTGTTAACTAAACAAACATTTAAAAAAAAAGGAATGATACAAAACAACTCGGCTCATGACCACCTGAACGCAATTGGATTCGACTGCAATACTGGCCATTCTGATCAAAGTGTTTCAACAACTTTGCTTCAACCGTTCCTCGGTCCTATGCGCAATATTATTGAAGTTCCTCTTCCTAATATCAAACAACGAGCTGAGCAAATTATGCTATTCATCAATACATCCTCTCACTAAAAACTGTCTGCTTTGCTTCAATATAAAACACAAAATCAAAATATTGTCCTTGTTCATCCATAATTTTGAATCCCAGCAGTGTTCATTATATGCTTTTCATTATCATAAAATTATTCTTCCAATCCATAATAAAACTCATATAGCTATTAGTTTCCTTTATTTCAGATACATATTAGATTCACACTTACCCGTGATTGACTTTACCAATCCTGGCCATTCTACGATCACCTAATTCTTACAAAAAACATCCACCCACCCGATAGTAAAAAACATACATCCATGCAACACCTGGCGAACATAAGCCACCACATCGAAACAATAATGATTAGAATTCGACCAACCCTTCATTCTTATCCCTCTACCACCATCCAATTCAACAAATTCAACCAAGCAGCTCACACATCAGTGTCGCCAAAATGAAATTAACTATCAACTGTTCGGTGTTAGAATTTCTCACGTTTTTTCAAGTTGAATTCAATAGTATCCTATATATCGTACGACTTCGAAAGTATGGATCATTGATATGAACATTTGCCACTTGACAAGTTTCTTTAGTAAACTTGAAAAACTATCTTTAGTTTTGTGGTAATTATTCACATACTTTAGATGTTTAAAAATTTCTGCTTTCGAGTAGAAACTTTCTATGAACTGTCTCAAATTTGTAGATTAGGATTGAATTGCAGCACTTTAAAACTTAATAGCCGAACTTACCTGATGAGGACCCTTAAGCAAGGTCGAAACCGGTCGTAAGTAGCTTGTGCTATTAAATAAATTCTATATACACACCTATATATTCTGGAATTTTTATGATTCCTGAATATATATTAGCTGCGACTTCTTTTATTTCTCAAAATTTTTTGGTAATTGCCAGGAAATTTAGAAATAATTGTGATCCTTCTACAAAATATTGATCGAGAGTTTAGAGAAAGTTTTATCTTTGAAACTTTCTATGAACTGTCTCAAATTTGTAGATTAGGATTGAATTGCAGCACTTTAAAACTTAATAGTCGAACTTACCTGATAAGGACCCTTAAGCAAGGTCGAAACCGGTCGTAAGTAGCTTGTGCTATTAAATAATTTCTATACACACCCACACCCACACCCACAGTCACAGCCACACCCACCCCACACCCAAAAACCCACACCCTATAAATGTTTGGAGATCAATAATCCATTACCAGATTTAATTCAAAGAACAAATAATTATTTGTTAAATTTGCGATTAGCTAAACGGATTACTCAAAAACAATATGAAACTCTATGTATTAATTCAAATGAAGTTGAATTAGTCCATTTATATTATTTACCCAAAGCTCATAAACCTGGTACTCCTCTTCGTCCAATAATTTCTGGTCTTAAACATCCTACAATTAAAATATCAAAATTTCTCGATGAATTACTTCGACCTTTATTTGATAAAATGGCTTTAAAGTCAACTGTAACTTCTGGTTTCGAACTAGTGAAACAGTTACAAGAATGGTCGAAAGATAATATGCGTCAAGAAACTTTATTATGTACAATTGATGTAGCAGACCTTTATACAATGGTACCACAAACTGAAGGAGTACTTTCATTAAAGAAAATGTTAGACCATTTAAAATTAAAACAAGTTGGTGGTCTTAAAATTGAAACAATAATTAGATTAAGTCGATTTGTTATGCAAAATAGCTATTTTTCTTATGAAGGTCAATATTATCATCAAATCCGAGGAGGAGCAATGGGTTCTCCTCTTACACTAACTGTTGCTAATTGTTATATGTTCTTTTATGAACAACAAATTATAAAACAAATAAATAATAGTGGCGGATTATATTTCCGATATATTGATGATATATTTCTTGCAATTAATTGGCCTGCTCGACATTTATTTAAACAAATCGATAGATGGAATCATTTTGATAAAAATATTAAATTATCAGAAAATATTGGTTCGACCGCTGATTTTCTAGATCTACATATAGAAAATCAAGATGGTAAATTATTTACTACAGTATTTCAGAAACCATCTTATGAGCCATATTATTTACCATTTAATAGTGTTCATCCAATACATATGAAAAAGAATATTATTTTTACAATGCTACTTCGTGCTTTCAGATATTGCTCAACTTTTCAAGAATATTTAAATGAGCGAGAAAAGCTACGAATGGCATTATTATTAAATAGGTATCCGAATAAATTTATTGAAAAACAATTTGAAAATGTTCTCTTAAAATGTAATATTAATCAGTCATTAAATGTTAATAATTATGACTTAATTCGTCAAAAAATTATAGATTCTCCTATAAAAGAAAAAATTCCAGTAGATTATGGTAAGGTAATGTTTGTTCATTTTACTTATTGTTTAAGTATGAAGACATTTCCAAAGAAGTTCCATGCCCTTTGGAGTAAATATTTTGGTGAATCTCCAATTAATGAAGTCTTACCTATTCTTAGTACACGCAACGTTAAAAATTTACAAAGGCAATTAACTTGTACAAGATAAAGCAATTAATTTATATAAAATAAAATTAATAAAATTAATAAAATCAATAAAATTAATTAAATAATCGATTTTGTTGTACAAGTTGGTATAAAATTATTAAAATGATACACGTGGCCTATAATTTATATATGTTTTGATTTAGTACACGTGATCGATATGTGTATTTAAAATCAAAGTTTTCAATCAATTTATGCCTATTATTCATAGCCCCTAATAATTGATTTTTTATTCTATTTTCTATTGAATTTGGCTTTTCTTTCCTCAAAATTTATTTTTATTTTTATTTAATTTTAATTTTAAGTTGATTGGTATTTAATTCAGTTCTATACTTTGTTCTTATTTTTTTTGTTTTCTTATTCTTATTCTTATGTTGTTGCTGGTTACCTTAGTTTATTTTATTTTCCTTTATTTTTAATTTAAGTTTTTACTTATATTTGTAATGCAGAGCCCTGACGAGTGTTTCAATATTTTAATAAATAACACGAAACGCGTCGGCAAAATTAACTCTGCATTAATTTTTTAAAAGAAAATTCCTATTCAAACAAATTTATTTAGTATTCAAATATTTGACAGAGAAAATCGGTTGCTGAAAAGCAAAAGTTGAAAGTAGCAGATTGATTTGTATTTTAAGAAATATAGGTCGGTCTGTTTTCCAATTGACTTTTGACATTTTTTGGTCTATATCTATTGGCTATATATTATTTCGAATTCATATCTAATTACGTCGTATTGTCATGATCATTATTACTTTGATTGCAATTCAAAAATTACATTCTAGATTAAATTGATTATCTTTCGGATTATATTATTCATGGCACGAGAACGAAATCAAAATTCAACTTTCGATGAAATCGATAAATTACTTGCCGATGAAGAATTTTGTCGAGCAGTAGACGCATTGAATGACAATACAGGTAAATATGAAAACTGAAATGAAATTTTTGTTGAAAAATGTCTAATTATTTTCAATTCTTTAAACAAGACATTACTGTTCACTCATCAACACAGACAACACCGGATCCTTTAAATACTGCTTTTATTGAAGTACGACGTACCATTTGTTTATTCAAAATAGGCGTAAAAATGAACATTTTTTTTTTCTAATATAAACCAGGATACCAACCTCAATGAACATCAACAAAGTAATTTATCTCAACAACAAAGTAAAAATTATTTTTAAGAAAAATTTCATTATATAATTATCGATTCAATAGGCCAAACTATAAATGATGCATCAGCCATCCTTCGTGAATTGGCGGAGATAGCGACTGATCATGAACATGAACGGATCGATCAACCTTTACCAACAACAACAACAACAACAACAAAAGGAAACTTGGTCGAAATAGTTGATCTATTATCATCAACATCTCGTACGATCGATCTATGTACACCGACACCGACACCAACACCAACATCAACACCAACAACAATTGACCTTTGTACACCGACACCAGCAACAATCGACCTTTGTACACCTGCACCAGTTACGATCGATTTAGATTCACCTCAAATACCATCCAACACTAACACTACAGACTCACCACTCCATTTAAGTCCAAAATAATACTTTGTTTGTTTTTTCTTTCCCGTTTTTTCCCCTCCATTCTCTATTATCTTCTTCCGATAACTTCTAATTTATTACATATCTAGTTATTCCCTTCGTTCAATTCATTTTTGTCCTTTTATTCTAGATGATTAATTACACTATATATAGTTCATCATAATAATTCGATGAAAATTAAAGTAATATAACGAAAATGTCAATGTATTTTATTCATACATTTATCATTTCATTTGTTACTTTTGTATATTATAGTATGACTCGTCAGTGTCACCTCATCAAAGACAAACAATTGGATACTAACACATTTGAGTTCAATTGATAAAATAACAAAAGAACAGAGATTTGACGACATTTACTATCAAGAAATCCATTACTTGAACATGTGACTCATTTATCAACATACAATGATTTACAAGGTAAAAAATTGTTATCGCCAACATGCTCGAAATCTGGAACTAGTCTATGACACAATGAATATTACTCGTTTTTTTCCGCTCTGTCTCTTCTTAATATAATTATTTAATCAGGCAACCTCTTGTCAAAAACTTTAAAAAAAACTTGTTGAACTGATACATACTTTGGAATTTAACCAGGAGGAGGGTCAAATTCATCTAATCACGAAGTTTGCTTCATTTAATATAAAAGATTTTTAACAAACTACTGCACAATACAATCTTTCATTGAAATTCAACAGAAACATTCAACTTAGTTTCGAATTTGACAAAAATTCGTTACGAGTGCTTTTTGATAATCCTAGTTGCTAAGGTGAAATATCGATATCATGATAGCTGTTATACACATCCTTCTTTTGACTCTATACTCATGTTCTCTTTTTCCTGTAATTTATAGAATTCATCTTTTGCTGTCTTAGTTCTCCTGAATCAAGTCTACTTTTTTTAGAATTCTTTCATACATATTAACGACATATTGAAGAGTCTTAGGGACAGAAGTATACAGAGATTGTCTGACAAATATACTGTATATCTATGACATATAATTTTACACATGGTAAGCAATAAATTTTTATTGTAAAATGTTTGCATACACCTTAGTTTATTTACTTTTTTATAGTGACTTGTAAAAAGACTTGGAATAGTTTTTCATAGATTTTAAATTGAGTCTTGTGTTTTATTTCAGATAGTACTATTTTTACAAAAAAACTTTGTAGCATTAGTTCAAAAAGAACTAAACATTGAAACGAAATTGTGAAGAGCAATTCAAAAAATTCAATTTCCATACAAATGGACTCTAGTAACAATGATTTCAAGCAAATAGAACATGATACTGGTGCATTAGATATGGTTCAACAACATGAGTATCAGTCTAAAACATTACTAGATAAGAATAAGAATGGACGATATGCTTATTTGCCCATATTTCCAATTAAATCTTTCGGCAAAGATGAATGTCTACTTTTGGCTAATGTACCAGGTTTACATTTCAAATTTTTATTTTTTATTTTGAATTAAATTTTATTATTTCTATAATTTACTAGTAACTTATCTTACATCAAATGAAATTGCTCGACGTGAACAAAGTGCATCGATACCGGAGGCTCTGATGTTGATGGAAACGTACGAGTATGGTGATAAATTCAGTTTATCTAAAGAAGACGTAGAAGAACTAGCTACACGTTTAAAAGTTGGCAAATCAATCATTACTTTTAATGCTGATCGATTTCGTAGCATTTGTTGTACTCTTCTTGCATTTCATGAATCATTTCGTCGAAATATTCTCTGTATGCCTGATAGTGTTATACAAGAACCAACACTCACTTTAAAACAAATGGCTATAGTATTAGAATTCTATTTACAAATAGATGGTCAGTCTTCTTATAGGCAAATCATTTCATAGTCTCATACATTTGTTTTTTTGTGATATTCTTTAGTGGATCTATTCTATATGAAAACATGTTCATTTCGTGGAGCTCAACCTCGATTTGATCTAGAAGGTTTATTCTGTAGCAAAGATGAACCACAAGCAAATTATTCTATGATTCCATGTCAGAAATTATTTTGTACATGTTGTCATCCAGTAAATAATGAGAAAAAAACACAACCATGGCCAGTTGTTAATTTTGCTTCAAGTTCAAGGTATCAATTTATTAATGGATATACAACCTATCTCAATTGTCCAGCAGTATATATATTATTTTTCATGAAAATTATTGGATTATAACAAAAGAGATGCTTTCTTGAAAATTTAGACTTGTAATACAAAAAATATCATCTATACAATGACATGTCCATGTGGTCAATATGATTATGTAGATTCAACTGCAGAAACATTGGCTGATGCGATAGCATGTATGTAGAAATCTTTGTGAATATGATTACGAATATTTTTTGGTTTTTCTTTTTCTTCGTATATGTGAATATATAGATCATCGAAAACATGGCAATCGAATTATACATGAAACATTAACTGGTAGTTCATTATTTCCATATATGACAAACGCTTCTTTCGAATTCGAGTAATGAAAAGTAAAATCGATAGAAATTGATTTGATAATATTTATTTAAATTTCTAGAAGAAAAATAACTAGTAAAATGCGTCTCTATCAACATTCTGCTCGATGTCCAAAAGCACTTCGTTTATTTCTCGATTATAATCCACAGTATTGGTGTTTTATTCCTTTGCTTGTTGATGAAGCAGGAGCAGAAAACGAGGCTTATGTACAAGAAAGAACTCCTTGCTCTACTTCTTCCAATGAAGCAGCAGCAACAACAACAACAACAATAACAACAAATGCTGAATTGAATGTTGTACTCGATATGGTTTGTCGTATGCATCGTAATCGTAAAGTAGCTTCTTGTCTTCAACAAGTACCATTAGCACCAGCTAAATATGTCTTTTCCTATGATCAAAGAGAAGAACAACGTTTATTTTTTGAACAATTTCTTGCATCTGATGTTGATCAACTACCTTATTCTGTAGTAGATTTGTATAAAGTCGCCATTATTGCTGTTCGTAAGTGATGAATTTCACTCAATTTTATTTTCTATTGTTTTTTGTATCTTTGATCACTTAGTACCCGATAATTGTTCGATTATATTACGATATCTGATCGAAACATTATTTATAATTCATGGTGAAACAAAATTGAATATGATTTGTCCTCTTGGTGGTGATCCTCAACAACGTTATGGTCATCCATATAATGTTATTTGGTGTAAAAATTTAATTCGTCCATACATGATACCATGAACATCAACTCAAACCAGCAACAACAATATACAAAAGCTATACAATTTTGCTATGACCATTTTTTTTTTCATTGATCAATATCTAACTTTGTTTGTTCAATAGATGAGATTGATTATGAATATCAATAATCCTTTTTTTTTTTTTTCTTTTGGCTCTGTAGTGTGTCTGTGTATGTGTGACCTATTCTCCATTAGAATCACTGAAGTGACTATATACTCTTCTTCTTTGTTCATCATTATATACTCTTCTTCTTATAGATTTTGAATAGCCTAGTAGTTCTACATACTTATATATGTTACTCTTAGTCATAGTTTTTTTTTCTTACTCATTTTTATTCCTTTTTATATTTTCTATTCAACAAAAAGAAGTATATTTTCTTTATTACTAAATTCGACTCAAATGGTTGCTTAAATACGGTAAGGTTTTCGTATATTAATTTTTCTTTTACTTAAAAAATTCTCATCATCTGTCTAGGCAGCAGCAACAACAATAAGCAATACAACTGTTCTACTAAAACCTGAAGATGTTGGCTCATGAATTGCTCAACCAAATAGTCGTGCTGAACAAAAAAACTGCTGAATATTGGGAAAAAAAGAGCTTTCATCTATATTAGGAGTAAGATGTATATTCACAAATAGTAATCTTCTAAGATTTATCATTATTTTTTTTTCTGTCTTGTCATATTCAACGTCCTGACGAATACTTTTATAAGAGACAACCTACAGTCAAAACAAATGTTGATTATAGTCAGGTGTGCAGCAATTCACCCATGAGTACGAATATGAAATGATTCAACATTATGCAGAACAAATTTAAAAATTTAAAAAAATTGCTATCTTTTTTTTCTCTCTTGTAAATTATATGTACAACATATTTCGGTATCGTTGTATTTGTAACGTTCAGTATTCAGTTCTCTTTTGTCATCAAATTCTAGAAATATTTGTCAATATCTCATTTTCATTTTCTGTGTATCTAATTTTCTTTACTAATATATTAGATTTGTCAAAAAATTTGAATCAATTGTACAAATACTTGCCACTCGATAATTTTCATTCAAACAGTAATGAAATACTAACTCTTAGTATTGTGGTAGTTCTTCCCACTGAAAACAATTACTCTGAACGAAAACTATACTTCATTTCACATGATTACTCATATTCGTTACAATGTTATTATCGCATTATGTGTATTGCCTTTTTTTAGATATCTATCAAATTCTAGATTGTTTCATTCATATATATTTTCTCCCTATAGTAAATCATGGTAAGAACAAGAGACAAATGTCTTTCCATTCACAGAGAGTAATGTAAACATGAGTGAATCTTATTATGTAACTTACTATACCAGTGATTATCGTTTAGTATTTTTTTTTTGTTTGTCTTTCGGAAATAATTTATATTGCAGTACATTTCATTTTTTTTCTAGATAACAAAAAAGGTCTCCTTGCTTATTGCATATCCTCTGTAGCTAATAGGTGTGAATTTTATCTAATTGCTTTATATTCTTCTTTTGATCCTACAAAGTACGACAAATAGTTTACTCATTGATAAATATGCCGACCAATCCGGATAATGCAAGGCAACAGAATAATCGTGCAAGTAACTCGCAAAACATGACTTTGCCAGCTGGATTAACATCTGATCAACAACAACGAGCATGTGAACAAGGACAACATCGATCTGAACCTGTTCAACGCGCACAGTCACAATCTATAAAAACACAAAATCAATTACAGTTGGTAGAACCATCACCAACACATTTACTGTCTAGACCAGAAAAGCCACAACAGCAGCAACCAAAACATAAACGAGACAAGAAAAAATGTCGAGGTGATCGTAAAGGACAACGGTACAGAGCAAAACTTCGTAAAAGACGTTTGAATGAGCAACAAATCGCAAATTTAGAACAAAATTATAAGAACATGAAACATAGTACAGATATCCAATCATCTACTATTCCTGAAATAGATATTGTAGCTCTTGTACCTACAATACACAGGTAAGATGAAGAGAGAGTCAAAAGGCTAGACTAAATAATTATTTTATTGTTCGTTTCAAAAAAAAAATAGACAGATATTCCTGAAAATCAACATGCTCTACAGAGAAAATCTATTAAGCGTAAACGTGAAACAAGACCAGTTGACATTACAACATCCTTAAGTCAAATGTCAATATCAAACCTTCCAAAAAAACGACCACGTTCAACATCTATGGCTCGTATTACAGAAGAGAAAAATTTGGCAGAAACAGAATCTAATACTAAACCCAAATATTTAAAAGTACCTGATCAAGTATTCAAAAATATGCTATCAAAATCATTGGCAGATGGGAAGTCTATTGTTGAAACATTAGATACACCAGAAAAATTAGAATTCATTCGTATATATGCTCATTTGCTCAATAACATATTCTATCTGAAATTAGAACGCGATTTTTGGAAACATTATCAAACAGTATGCGTTTCTGAAGGTATTTGGTCTTCACCATTACAGAAAGATATTACTAAAGAAAATAATCTATGTCGATTCAAATTTAAGACGAAGATTCAACTTGAAAAACACTCAAAATTGATTGACATTCGACTACAAGAAGCGGAAAACAAGTTAAATAACCATATTCAACAGCTCATTCAAAATTCATTTGATATGAATCAATTATCAAGTTTGATGACTGCTTTTGTACGTCAAGGTCAACATAAATTATCCGTCGAATACAGACAAAAGAAATCGATCTTACAATGTGATGCTGCTGATCATCGCTTAATTAAAACTTTTTACAGTTTGAATCCAACTGAAAACCAGGTATCCATTTCTTCCTATTATTCTGACATTTAGATAGTAATATGATTCTTTAGATTTGTTCAGCCAAAGTGATCTGGCAGGCTACGAAAGATAAATTACAAGCTGAAGAAGAAGTAGCCATTCTTAAACAACGTATTTATACGAAACGATTACCTGCATCCGATGCGATTCTTGATTACTCCATTGATCCGATAGAGAATATGTTAAAACAACCAGCGCTCAATAAAGATAAGCGTGCGACATTATCATTTCGTCGACTTAAAACAATTGCTCAATTCAAATACGATATGATGGTCTTGACGATTGCAACCGCTGAAGAGACGGTTCGAAGTTATATCAGCATCATCGCTAATGAAAAGAAGAAATTAATTGATAATACTAGTGGTGGACAAGTTCCTCTTCCGAAGCCACTCATTCAACTGATGAATGCTATTACTGCACGTCAAACTAATATGGTACAACGTTCTCAATATATTCTACAACAAAAATTATCGGTTTTCGACAACGCTCCAGTGGCAGAAAATATGGCTGGTGCCACCGGAGCAATGTAATCGATCTTTTCAGTCATATTCTTCCATCATCACCTATCGTCGAAGTCGCTTCTACTCTTCAACCGAAACATTTCTCTTACCTTACCAATGGTCCTAAATATGTTCCACCATGTCAAAGTCGTTTCTCAAATGGAACTATCGATAAAATTATTCTGCGCGAATATAATCATATCATTCAAAGTTTTGAAAAGGATCTTACAAAAAATTGTATTTCAGCTTCTGATCAACGCGCCAAAAATTTCTTTACTGATATAGAAAATCTTCTTCGTCGACTCCATACAAATATATTACCTCCTAAATTATTAGCTCGAGCTCAACATGAACATCGAATTATGAAGAGTACACGACGTCAACTCAAAAAATCTAATGTTATTATTCGTATTACGGACAAAAGTAAAGTATTTCACTTAGGTAGTGTACAAGATTATCATGAAAAAGCCTTACAATACATGCAAGATACTAATGCCTATAGAGAAATAACAAGTGGTATCAATCCATGTCACGATCATGTACAAACAGTCTTAGTATTAATACATCCAATGTTGAAAAAGAGAGAGATTAATCTCGAATTATGGAAACAATACATGCGACCAAATGCAATAACAACTGAATTAGCTCATCTATACTTTATACCAAAGCCACACAAAGTAAATTTGCGATAGAATAATTTGAAAACATATTTTTGTTTTTTACTATTCTTCCTCTCTATAGATTGATACACCATTGCGACCAATTGTATCGTCAATAAAAGCAGCAGCAACTGGTGTTTCACATTTCTTAGATCTTTTACTTCGTCCTATGTTTAATCGAGTCACAAACGAAACAACATTTATCAATGGAATTGACTTTGTTCGACAAATGGAACG